CTTCAGGCAATACAAGTCCGAGTAAAATTCACAGTATTTATAACATGACAAATGTTACTAAACCAGAATTGATTATTTTCTGCACAGTTTCCATTTGGAGAGGGTAAATTATTTATTTTATGTGATTCACTCATTGTCTTCAATGGGGTTCCTTCCACACTCCCTCAAGCTCTTTCCTCGTTTACATTCACCAGCACTGGCCCTCTTCTCCCATCATGGATGACAAAAACTTACCCAAAGTGCAGACATAATGGGGGGAGATTTACTAAAACTGGAACACTCAGAATTTGGTGCAGCTGTGCATGGTAGCCAATCAGCTTCTAACTTCAACTTGTTCAGTTAAGCTTTGGCACTAAAACATGAAATCTGATTGGTTTCCATGCAGAGCTGCACCAGATTTTGCACTCTCCAGTTTTAGTAAATAACCGCCAATAGCTGCAAATACTGGATAATCCAGGCAAGGGAACATGTCTGATATGCCTGATGATAATAAATATACCCCTATATCCTTACTCATCTTGTTACAGAAACTTTTTATCTTATTATTAAGCCAGTGAAGTTGTTTATTTCACTTTCAGGATAATACTTATCAGTTTATTCAAATTAAGCATATGAATATTTGTCTATTGTGATTTAGAAAAGAAACAGTTACAGGGACAAGACTGAGGGGAAAATCTACAAATGGAGATGCTTGCTCTGGTAACAACAGTTAAAGGTGGAATTTCACAGACCTTCAAACTTAGACTGGCCATATACTAGTAAAGTTTCATACTAATGTTTGTACGAAAATTCTCGCAAGGACATTTTTAGAATGTACATTCTTGCCATCGTTTAGTCAACCAATTTTAATTTGAAAGCCATTAAAATTTCATTCAGACCTGCTATTTGAATAGCATCCCAGATGTATTAAACCGGTTTCATTACAATATATACGAGTGTGCAATTTCTCCTAAAGAAAAAACACATTCACAGTTAGAATTTTGTTCAGTCAAGAAAATTGTTCCATTCTCCTTTGATTTTTTTACCTGACTAACCATTAGAAAATGAAATACACATTCCAAAAAATTCAAAATGTTTGATGTTTTTTGATAAAACCTAACATCTCCCTAACGGGTACAAAGACAGCAATGAAACCTTGACCAAAGTTCTAGCTCTTCCCCAAAGTGATAAATAAAAAATAATTAGGGTATTTGTTGGCAAACCCTAATCTGTAAAAACCTGCAGGACACTTATTATAGACAGATATGACATATATATATATACACACACACAAAGACTTGGCAACCTACCCTTTAAAATAATTGCTAAGAGAATTAAAACTATTATTATTATACAGGATTTATATAGCGCCAACGGATTTCTCAGCGCTTTACATTATAGTGGGAGACAATACAGTAACAATGCAGTTCAATACAAGAGGGAATTGAGGGCCCTGCTCCTTGGACCTTACAATCTAGGAGGGAGGGGTGAGTGGTACAATAGATAAAACTGTGGGGGATGGAGTGGTTGGAAGCGTAGAGGATCCCAATATTAGCAGAGGTTTTTAATGATCGCCTAAAGGCAAGTAGAGTAGGTGGTAGGTGGTAGTAGGTGGTAGTCTGATAGATTGGGGTAGGGAGTTCCAGAGGATGGGTGATGCCCTGGAGAAGTCTTGGAGACGAGCATGGGAGGAGGAGATAAGGGAGCTAGAGAGTAGGAGGTCTTGCAATTAGCGGAGTGTACGGTATGGGTGATATTTTGAAATAAGTTTGGATATGTAAATTGGGGCAGTGTTGTGGATGGCTTTGTATGTCATAGTTAGTGTTTTGAATTTTATCCATTGGGCAACTGGGAGCCAGTGGAGGGATTAGTAGAGAGGGGTGGCAGATACAGAGCGGTTGGTAAGGTGGATGATCATGGAAAAAGTTGTTTACGAGTGACGGTCCATGCAATCGCCAAGGGTCGGATACGACTGAATGGATAGATAGATAGATAGATATAGATAGATAGATATACATATACACTATATACTGCCAAAAGTATTGGGATGCCTGCCTTTACACGCACATGAACTTTATTGGCATCCCAGTCTTAGTCCGTAGGGTTCAATATTGAATTGGCCCACCCTTTGCAGCTATAACAGCTTCAACTCTTCTGGGAAGGCTGTCCACAAGGTCTAGGAGTGTGTCTATGGGAATGTTTGACCATTCTTCCTGAAGCGCATTTGTGAGGTCAGGCACTGGTGTCGAATGAGAAGGCCTGGCTCACAGTCTCCACTCTAATTCATCTCAAAGGTGTTCTATCGGGTTGAGGTCAGGATTCTGTGCAGGCCAGTCAAGTTCTTCCACCCCAAACTCGCTCATCTATGCCTTTATGGACCTTGCTTTTGTGCGCTGTTGCGCAATAATGTTGTAACAGGAAGGAGCCATCCCCAAACTGTTCCCACAAAGTTGGGAGCATGAAATTGTCCAAAATGTCTCTGACCCTTAAGAGTTCCCTTCACTGGAACCAAGCCCAACCCCTGAAAAACAACCTCACACCATAATCTCCCCCTCCACCAAATTTTACACTTGGCACAATGCAGTCAGGCAAGTACCATTCTCCTGGCAACTGCCAAACCCAGACACATCCATCGGATTGCCAGACAGAGAAGCGTGATTCATCACTCCAGAGAACACATCTCCACTGCTCTAGAGTCCAGTGGCAGCGTGCTTTACTACATGGAAACCCATTCAATAAAGCTCTCTACACACTGTTGTTGTTGTGCTAATCTGAAGGCCACACGAAGTTTGTAGGTCTTTAGGTATTGACTCTGCAGAAAGTTGGCGACTTCTGCGCAATGTATACTGACCCCGCTCTGTCATTTTACGTGGCCTACCACTTCATGGCTGAGTTGCGGTTGTTCTCGTTGCTTCCACTTTGTCATAATACCACTAACAGTTGACTGTGAAATATTTAGTAGCAAGGAAATTTCACAGATGGAATTATTGCACAGATGGCAACCTATCATGGTACCACACTTGAATTCACTGATCTCCTGAGAGCAACCCATTCTTTCACAAATGTTTGTAGAAGCAGTCTGCATGCCTAGGTGCTTGATTTTATACACCTGTGACCATCAAGGTGATTGGAACACCTGAATCCAATGAATTGGAGGGGTGTCCCAATACTTTGGGCAATATATAAAATATATATATATATATATATACACAGAAAATAAAAATGCTAAAAGTAGTTTGCAGTATTGTTTTCTCCAAAACTGTATAAACTAGACCTGAGAGCTAGACCTAAGTTTACCTGAAATAGAAACTTAAAATTTGTTAATGTGTTTCAACTTAAAAAGATCCTTATAATGCAGATGGCACTTCTTAAGGAACACAAAAATGAATGCTGGACATTAATATACAGTATTTTCCTTTACATTTCTGTAAACTATGGTTCTTATAGATAATTCCTAGTATGTAGTCATCCTTACATTTTGTTTTTCGTTTACAATGTGGTAATTTCCAGCTATAACTCTAATGAATGTTTTGTTATTAGTTTTCCACTTCTTAGGTAAAGAAAATGATTGCTCAGTGCCATCACTATGTGAACAAACAAACACTTGCCTTTAGAGAACTTGATGGATCTTCGGGGTCAGATGCCAAAACCTGATATATTGGTCCAATAGGTGATCCTTCAACAATGTAAACCGTCACAACTATAATAAAAATGAATTGTATAGTAAGAAGAATAAAATCATTACAGTTTGTACAAAATCCAGGAAACAATAGCTTTGTGCCTTTTTATCCTGTAATGAATCAAATGTTCTGTTCACATATTTATTTATTTATTTATTTATTTGTATGATACACAGCCATACAGAACCATTTTGCTACAATAGAGGGGGTGCTTTATCACACATCGCAAATTTTGGAGGGTTCTTGATGAACTGGCTTAATGTGGCTCAGTGGGTGACCCTGCTCTGTTTGAAAACAGTGGCTGCATGCTTGCAGAACAGTGACTTAGTGGTTAGCACTCCTGCCTTGCAGCACTAGGGTCATGGCTTCAAATACCAGTAATCATCCTATCTGTATAGAGTGTGCATGTTCTCCTTGTGCTGCATTTTGAATACCTTGCCCTGCATTATCTCAATTGGGATAAATGTGATCTTTTATGTGAAAACTCATGCCAGTGAACATTACCATATGTGTTACAACATGAATTAGCCCGAAAGTTAATACACACACCTTGATTTGCTAGGTTGCCCAGGAATACCGGAGGCTCGTTTACATTGGTGAGCTGCACAGTTAATGTTTGCAATTCAGTTGTTCCTGACGTGTCTTCCATATATATTTGTAATTCAAAGCTATTAGGCATTGTTTCAAAATCAAGGACTGGATTGCCAGTTGCAACTACCTACAATAAAGTGAGAGCACGTTCACACCATCACAGCACATATATACATAAAGCAATATAATATTCATTTAATAATATGCAGTTGGGGTTAAACAGTACAATACTGTATAGTTAGTATATTGTACCTATTTTATTTTTTATTACTGCATAAATATGACATTGCTATGAAAATAAATATGCAGTATATACGAAGAAATATCAGCTTTATCATATGTATTACATGAAACAGTTATAAGGATACCATATTTTTTTTTTAGCAGCAGGGGGCTTCAGAATCTGTAGTAAACACACCTGGGTTGACGCTAAAGTGTGTTTTAATGGGAAAACATGAAGGTAGAAATATGGAAGTTGTAATAGCTGTTTCATTTAACCACTTGCCTACAGGGCACTTATACCCCCTTCCTGCAAATGCCAGTTTTCAGCTTTCAGTGCTGTTGCACTTTGAATGACAATCACGCGGTCATGCAACACTACACACATATGACATTTTTATAATTTTTTTGAGACAGATAGAGCTTTATTTTGGTGGTATTTAATCACCTCCTGGGTTTTTTATTTTTTGCTAAACAAACCAAAAACAACTGGAAATTTTGAAAAAAAAACAGTTTTTTTCTTAGTTTTTGTTATAACATTTTGGAAATAAGTGATTTTTCTCCTTCATTGATGTGCCCTAATGAGGCTGCAGTGATGGGCACTGATAGGCTGCACTGATGAGCACTTATAGGTGGCACTGATGAGGAGGCACTAGTAGGTGGCACTGATGGGCATTGACAGGCATCACTGATGGGCACTGAAAGGCAGCACTCATATATGGCACTGATAGGCGGCACTGTTAGGCGACACTGACTGGCACTGATAGGTGACACTGAAAGGCAGCTCAGATGGGCACTGATATGTGACATTGATGTGCACTGGTAGACACTGATATGTGGCATTGATGTGGCACTGATGGGCACTGGCAGGTAGCATTGATGAGCACTGACAGCTGGCATTGATGGGCACTGACAGGTGGTACTGCTGGGGCAACACTGATCATCAGTGCCCTGATGATCAGTGTACATATCCCCTCCGAGGAATGCCGATTACCAGCTCTCCTCTCGAGCTGTCAGCGTGACAGCTTGTGAGGAGAGATATGCCGATAACCGGTATTTCCCTATTTATATGCAATCAGCTGTGATTGGACACAGCTGATCACATGACCGAGCCAACATATTTGGCTCTTTCTGTTGATCGGTGATCCACTGTGTACGAGGGACACAGAGCACCACCAATCGCCGCGCTGTGCGCTCCCAAAGCCGCACACGTACGGTTAGAGTGGGAGGATATCATAAGACGTCCTCCCAGAACGAGAGAACCGCCCTGTGCCCGTCATTACCTTATATGGCGGGCGGGGGGCGGTTAAAGGCTTAGACTTTGTTGCTATCATCCTGATTATGGCTCCAGTGCATAATTGGTCAATAACAAGAATAACCATATGAGTTTACACTTTCCAGACTTTAATGACTACATGCTTGTTTGAGATCAGTGAATACATTTTAGTAAAGCCAGGATGATAAAAACAACAACCCCTTTACGACAGCAATTAGCATATACTGTATACAGTGGCATTGCAGTTGGGTCTTAACACTCAGGCAGCACATATGTGTCACTGTGTTGTTTTGAAGAGTGCTCCATCAGTGCCCTCAAAACTTTGACCAAGCTGTCAGCGACAGCTCATGCTCAGTTTCTGCTGACCAGTGCTGGATTTGTAAGGGCGCAAAAAGAAAAATTGCCCAGGGCCCCCTGCCATAGGGGGCCCCAGACTTCCTTTGTGAATTTTTTTACTAATCAAGCTAATTGTATACATTCTTTTACAAAGTGTGTGTGGGTGTCAGGATATGGAACAATTAAGCCTGACTTCAGAAGCAAAGGGATGAGGGCTTCTGGCAAATGTTTTACATTTCAACTTATTATTACATATTAATTTACTATTTGAGATGTTTGTTATAACATGACTGTGTTGCTGAATTTATTATCTTGTTGGTGGGATAAGGGAGGAGTTCAATCCTATCCTAGTGCGGCCGACTGTCGCATTAACCAGCGTGGAATGCAAGATGGCACCGAACCAGACGTGACCTCCAGGTCTGAAGAGAAGTTGAAACTTCGAAACGCGTTACCACCCATTTACATCATCATGTTCTCTGCTGACGTCATGTCCACTACGGTGCCATCTTGCTTTCCATGTTGATTAATGCGGCGGCCGCCCGCACTAGGATGCTCCTCCTGCTCCACAACTCAGCTACGCACAGACCGCCTGATTTCAACCACCCATTGGGGATCTGGACATAACATTGACATGCCTGTCTTTGTCTACTTTTCAGTGAATTGCCAATTGTGTATGTTTTTTAATAAACTCCACTATTAATGCTGCACTTAGTCTGGTGCCCCTCTGCTTCCTTCTCTTTACACTCTCATTTCATGGGCTTCTTAATTGGTAATGGAATCTCTGCAAATACGTTGAAAATATAAGCTGAGCTTATCTAGTTTCGATTAGCGTAAAGGTTAAAAGTCATCCAGGTGTTAAGGGTCTTATAGAACCTATAAGGGGATCAGCAGTGACATGAATGATTAAATGCATAATACCAGCCCATTATTATTTAGTTAACGAGAAAAAAAAAATGCTAAGCAGTAATACTTACATAATATAGGGGGGAACTGGGATCAACTCTAAAAGCTGTAGTGAGAGGACTACTGTTTATTATTATAGGAGATGCTTTTAAGCCCATTGTAGAATTGACTGAGAATGAATACACTCTGGTGCTAGCTGGGGTGTTTTCCTGAACGGTTGTTGAGTTAGGCAGTCCATTAAACAACAATGTGCCTCCACCTTTAAAGAGAAAAAAAGCACCATGTTAGAAATAATCAAAGCAAAGAAATATATATATATATATATATATATATATATATATAATAAAATATATACTGAATATTCATACATATCTATGAGAACATTTAGGGGGTCTATTTAATTAAAGTGATACCATTTGTTGGTTAATAATGGGATTGTAAATATGAGCTTTTGAAGCATTTTCTTTCCAGGCATGATATGCTACTGTAGCAACAAACCAAACTAAAACAAAAGAAAGGAATTTTTAATGAAAAGTTAGGTTGTTTTTTTAAAATGTATTTTTTTTTTTGTTTTATCAGTTAAGGCTAACTCCACCTTTTATACCCTAATTTTGAGTATAACATGTAATATGGTGGCAGTGTTCAGTGACCCGTCCTGTGGACTAAGGTATATATGTAGACATCATTTAAGAGCACCTGCCTAAAGCCCAAATAAACCCAAAAACAAAAAAAATTTAAATTGCAGCTTGTCAATTCTTAGATGTAATGGTTGCATTGCCTTTTTTTTTTTTTGTCATCCAGACCCAAGAAAAGCACGACTTGACCAACTGACACTTCCTCTTATCAATTTAAATTATTTATTACTCATTTTTACAGCCACTAAAAAAAACTATTGCTAAGGCATCAAGTTTTCTAGTCCTGCGTTTTCATGAAGTGAAGAACAGTATTAAAGAGACCAAGAGTTTTGAAAAATTGAAAGCAAAATGATTAGACAGAATGGTCAGCTTTGACAAGATCTGAGCCCCTTGGATCAAACATTTTCTCCCACCTACCTTTGACAAATGTCTGTTATAATTATAATAAAATGTAAGAATTTCTTTATTGTTTTGGTTGCCCCAATCAGGTAACTTGTACCTTTTTTTCCTGTTTTCCTTATCCATGTGTGCCTCGAACCCCTATACCTCCCTTTTCCCGTATTTCTACCCTTTTTCTAGCTTTTCTTTCCTCTGCTCCTTAGTCTTTTCACCTAGATATACCTGGGTACAGTTATTCATGGTTAGCTATGTGGCACATCTGCTCTTTATCCCATTCTCCTTATAGTTTGCATGCCTTTTGCTTGGGGTACAGTGCTTGCTTACTCATTTGTGTTATGCATGTACAGCTGGAGAGTTTCCTATCTTTGTGGTTAACCTTGAACCATGTTATTTATGTGATATGTGAATCCAATAAAAATCTATTGAAAAAAGCAATCATTTTAATAGAATAACTGGTACAGATTACTGGGTTTCAGTCTGGTCATTCTGTTGATCTTGGTAAACACATTTCTGGGTGCAAAACATATCCTAAAATGCACATCAGCATCAAGATCCTAAGCTATAGGAGCAAGCTATTTCTTATTTTATACATCAATTACTAAATAACCAAACATAAAGGATTTTCTGCCTGAAAACAAGCAGAGGGAGCAAAAGACCATGGAACAAAGATGAAGAAAGTGGAAGAGTGGAGAAAGAAAATGTAAGGAGGGGTGTGGTTTTATAAGGAAGGCTTTTCCTTGGCTAAAGCCACTTATTACCCCTCTAGCTTGATTACCCAGGGCTGTCTGATTTCATCAAGTTGAGGTTGTTTATTATCCAACATACAAGACAGATTCTTATTAAGCATAATCCATGTTAGCCTATGTTTAATTTATAGTTGTATGCAGGATATATACAGTTTAGAAGATTAGGGATCAAGTCATCCTTGGATTCTTTGGGGTCAAATTTTATCTCCAAGCAAAACTAAGCATAAGTCCCCCTGCCTAGTCTGTCTCCTAGCAATGGGTTTGATTAACTAAAACTGGAGAGTGCAAAATCTGGTTACATAATTAGTCTGGCTGACTAAAGACAAATGTCCATCCAGTTCAACCATTAAACAAAAAGTTATAATCCTACACCCACAGTTGATCCAGAGGAAGGCAAAACAAACCAGCAAAGCATGATCCAATTTGCTCCTGCAGGGGAAAAAAATTCCTTCCTGATCCCCCGAAAGGCAATCGGATATTCCCTGGATCAACGTTACCTATAAATGTTAGTAACCAGTTATATTCTGTGTACTCATCTCTGCATAGAAACCAATCAGCTTCCAATTTTTTTTTGTTAGAGCTTAAGTGAACTAGCTGAAGTTAGATGCTGATTGGCTACAATTGGCTGCACCAGATTTCCCATTCTCCAGTTTTAGTAAATCCACCTCAATGTGTCCCTTCTGGCATTTTAGTGGACCTGGGAGTGACAGGTGCAGCGTTCAGCCACAACGTGCCATAGACTTTGACAGGCTGCATGCAGCGGGGCAGGACATTGCACCTGTCCATTCTGGGCACACTACAAAACCAGGAGGGACACATGGCTCCTACGTGACCACGTGTACAAGGAGCCTAATGGTTATTTAACTTACAAGTTTATAAACTGATGTTTTTTATAATTCTTTAAAATTACAATAATAAAATCTTTGTACTAAAAAATACATCCAGTACAGGGTGTATCTTTGACACTAACTGTTCCATATGCGCTGTATTTCATCTTTTATGTATATAACAAATGTTTTATATGATATACTATAGCTTTATAAACCAAAGTTTTACACATTTTTGTGAATTTCCATAAAATCTTTATTTTACAAATCAACAAGTATTATGGGGTACAGCCATTACACTGTATTCACAGTGCATTGTGGGTTTTCTAAAGATAGAGCATAGACAAAGCTGTTCACCTTCTAACTACATTCTCTAACAAACGTCTGTATGGCCACCTGAAGAGACCTCAAGGGAGAGGGGAACACTCCTCTGATTATTCAGTTGTCTATGTAAATTTAAGATTTGTGCTAATGAACATGGTAAACAATCGTTTTTTTTTAAAACAGATTTATAAATAGATATGTTTATACCGAAAAGGTGTAAAGAGTTAATTTTTTGTCATGAAATGTAAATATGGGCATTCATAAGCATTATTTCATATTTACCTGACTAAAAATGGAAAATCTAACTTTAGTTTTCAGACTTAAATGTAGAGCCCTCTAGTTTAGATAGGATTTTTGTGTGACAGTCAGAGGCTTGGTAGAAACCTGGAATGATTCAGCCTGGGAGTGAGGCACTGAGGTTACCTCAGGGCAGGCTGAGAGGCTCTACAAGTCAGACTTCTGGAGCCCTCCCACCCTTCTAGAAACTGTGGGAACTTTCTAGAAGTGGGGCGGGGAGAGGAGG